CACTCATTTTTTCTACACCAGCTATATTTCTACGTCTATACATACACAGTTAGTTCTAGTCTTGCCTATTACTAGTATGCTACAACCATGCCTATTACTAGCATGCTACAACCACGCAAGAATCAGCTCATCTTAGAAGTTGAAACTGCTTCTTGGGTGGGAAGAAAACATGCGCCAATATCTCCAGTCGAAGATTGCACGTCAAGATTATTATTTCGAATGTTAGGTTTTTGCAGCACTTCGTTTTTGCTGAAAGCTATCTGAAGGACATACTTTATGAGCGCAAGCTTCGATAACGTACGGTTGTATGTGCATATCAAGGGTATATTCTGTAGCACACACAGTCTTCGGTCTCTGTGCCTCTTATTTTTGTATGCGCTGCATTTTGCAACTTTCGCACGGCTGTATAACCTTTAATACATTATTAGCTGCTGGTCATCACTCAAGCTCAGGCTTGGAAACTTCAGTACAACTCTTTTTTGGAATTTCAATTAGAATTTCAATAATTGGTACTTTGCCACTCTTACACTGCAAAATAGATTTTGCGAGGTCAATTTTACAACTTACTCCATTTGTACGGTGATTTTTTGGCACGTGATTGACTGAATAGGTTCTTCGTCCTTTTCATTCTTGATAACGAGATCACCATAACGTACCGTCTCACCAGCAATAAGCGGGAAATATTCAACACATTTCGGTTCGCCATCTTCCACAAAGTCACAAAGCATCACGATTGCCTGTACACCTTCCTAGAAATGACTTATTTGGAAATGCTGAGGACCCAGATCAAAATAATATTAATTCAGAATTCCAAATCACTTAAGGATTAAACAAAATTTCTACATTTTTAAAAGCTTTTCAAAAAATCTAGGCTTTTGAAAAGCTAGCGCATTTTTATTGTAAAAGCCCAGTTGTTTTGCGAAGTCTTAATCCAGTACTTACACAACTTTGAGATCTCTTTTGCGTTTTCGCAGACATTCAGGAAATTCAGACTGAACGGCAAATTTTTATTCCACACCGCTAAAATTATTAGGTTTTCAAAAAAATATTTCAAATTGATTCGAAATTTTTAGGTCGGCCGATCTTCTAGAGTTCGATAGTCTTGCTTCCTTAGGCGAAAAAAAAATATTTGGGTCGAATCACTGACAAATAATTATTTCAGTTGAGATTAGTCGGCATTTCTCGATCCCCTGAAAAATTTATAAGCTTAACGCACAAATCCCCACATTTTTATGCGTTTTTGTTGTGCAGCGCTATAACGTAGCTACAGTGAGCAAATTGTCGAGAGGTCTCCCGTGTGTTTATATTCGGAAGCAAATGAATTTTGTCGTTTATTTTTACCTGGGACATATTCCTTTTTGTTTACCTCTCGTTTTGAAACCTTCGCTCATGCACTCCTGGATCTTGCTTACGGACCCTCGAAAAAATATGCAAGTTTCTTTGGGGGGTCGTTTAATTTCGCGAATCAGACAAGATAGAAAGCTGAAAATTGGCAGAGTTATTTTCTGTGCGTGTATGAGCTAAATTTTTCAAATCAGCCGTCGTGCGTGCCTGCGTCAAGCGCGTGGTCACGTCAAAGTTTGTACATTGGCATCGGACAAATTCGAAAACTAGCCGGAAAACACTGGCTGAAATTTTGTCGAAATATTTTTCGTCAATACGGAATATCGTATACTTAAACTGAGTTTCTATCGGCACTTGTGCTGACTTAGGTTAGTTCAAAGATATTTCACTTGTCGGACAAGCTGCAAAGCTGAAACTTTGTAGGGGTATTTTATATTCATGTGCTGTGTTAATTCAGCTTAAAGGTGAAATTCCCTTCATGTGGACGTGACAAATACTTAATTTTATCGCAAAACTCAAAAGCGAATGCACTTCGGATTTCGTAATCCTTCTATTTCGGTATCCTGTGCATTATCAAATTTGCATTTTTCGATGAGCGACTGTCCATCTGAAAAACGACCGAGCTCATGCAAAAAACTGACAATCATGCATGCTGCAAAGTTCATGCGTCGTCGCAACGCAACACTACCATCCTAACCTGTATGCAAGATCTTGATTGGAATGCTCCAGGTTTGCCGGAGCGATCATGCGTTTTTGCACTAATCCTAAAGCAATCAAATCGTCAACTGTATGAATGGTTGCTGCTTTACACCTACCTTCTATGTTCTCTAGTGTCGTAAGTTTTGAGAAAAGGAAAATGAACAATTTGCATCTGACGGTCGTTCTATGAAATGAATCAGCTGTTCAGTAAGCAGTTTTACCGCCAAATTTTTAGTCGCCCACACGCAAGAACCATGCATACCTGAGAGCTGATTTTAAAATTTTTAGATTGTGCGTGGATTTTGAGGTTATGTTCCCCGTCCACATATAACTCAAAGATTTCAAATTCAGCCTCCGGGTGTGCGTGGTTACCGCGTACGGCCCCGTGAGATTTTTCGGCGGGAAAATGGCTAACTCGGGAACTAGCA